GGTTAAAAATCCGAACGAAATCTTATCTTATCTTATCTTACAAGAGACTGTGAAAGATTTCACTACTGAAGAGATCTTTCAAATATTAATGTATATCACATACCAGTGCAGGAGGGCCCCACTTTACAGCACTTCACCTTGCAGAGTTTTGCTAATGCAGCAGTTTTCAGTTATACCCAGTCTTCATTTATTCAAACTTCCTACAATAAATATATTCACCACTCACTATAAACTAAGAACAAAAATATTTCAAGGTAAGTAATGTGTACTGTATATGGATTTTTTAGGCCTACCTCTATTACTCACCTAATATATGATAATGTAAATATATTATTAGGCTTTTATATGCATTTGAAAGTAAAAAAAAAAAAAGAAAGAAGGAAAGAAAGAAAGAAAGAAAAAGAAAGAAAGAAAGAAAGAAAGAAAGAAAGAAAGAAAGAAAGAAAGGAAAAGAAAGAAAAAGAAAGAAAAAAGAAGAAAGAAAGAAAGAAAGAAAGAAAGAAAGAAAGAAAGAAAGAAAGAAAGAAAGAAAGAAAGGGGGGGGGCTATATTTCACTTTACAGCAGTGACCCTGATCCTAACCTGCTGTATAAGCAGGGCCCACCTGTACTATACTATACTACTTAACCCTTAAACTTTCCAAACATAGATCTACGTTTTTTCAACATTTGAAAAGTATGTAAAAAAACATAGAGCTTCTTTTTATTTTTTACATTTGAAAACGTGTAAAAAAAACTTTGATCTACTTTTTTTTTGTGTTATATTTGAAAATATGTAAAAAAACATAGATGTACTCTTGGAGCACTACGCATGTGAACATAGATCTGTTTGGACAGTTTAAGGGTTAATATGGCTTATTAATTTATCCCTGTGGTATACCTTCTCTGCTGTTCTAATATGCTTTGGATCTATTTTGTGATTCCCAGTGATGTGTCATAACCTGTCTTTATAAACATTATAATTTTTTTTTTCAACACATCGGTTGTCTCCCACCGAGGCAGGGTGACCCAAAAAGAAAGAAAATCCCCAAAAAGAAAATACTTTCATCATCATTCAACACTTCCACCTCACTCACACATAATCATCGTCTTTGCAGAGGCGCTCAGATACAACAGTCTAGAAGTCCCTCCAAACTGCCAATATCCCAAACCCCTCCTTTAAAGTGCAGGCATTGTACTTCACATTTCCAGGACTCAAGTCTGGCTAACCAGTTTCCCTGAATCCCTTCACAAAATATTACCCTGCTCACACTCCAGCAGTTCGTCAGGTCCCAAAAACCATTTGTCCCCATTCACTATCCAACACACTCATGCATGCTTGCTGGAAATCCAAGCCCCTTGCCCACAAAACCTCCTTTACCCCTTCCCTCCAACCTTTTCGAGGATGACCCCTACCCCGCCTTCCTTACCCTACAGAGTAATATGCTCTCCATGTCATTCTACTTTGATCCATTCTCTCTAAATGACCAAACCACCTCAACAACCCCTCTTCAGCCCTCTGACTAATACTTTTAGTAACTCCACACTCCCTAACTTCTGCACATGCTAGTGATGTGGTTTGTTTACTCTGCATGTGCCCAAAATAGTCAAGAGGAAATAGCTATTATCCTAACCACCCATCCCAGTTTCTTGACACAGCCATATTGTTAAGAATGTTTTGTTTTCTTAAAGCCACTGAGAAAATTAAATATGTGGTTAGAACATTTTAATAGTAACTCAGTATGTCGTAATAACCCTAATACTCAAGTTATCCAATAATGAGTTAGGCACATACAGTAGTGATGTGCCAATTCATTATATGATGCCTTAATTTTATATTTCATGTCGTATTTCACACTCAGCTTCTGCCAACTGGCTCTAACAATCCATACAAATATAAACCTAGACATGAAGCTCTTAGAGAGCTACAATAGAATGCATAGATATAACACAAGAAAAAATTACCTTTTCAATGTTGTATGTGTTTGACTTAACCCGAACAGAAACTAAATATGCATAGAGGTCCTACAATCTGCAACTCTACCCGAAGATTCTAAAAGTTCTCCATCTGCCAACGACTTCAAAAGTAGTTAAAAAAAAACCTCTGAACTTGATTGTTTGTTTTGTTTTGTTTATATTTGATATGATTAATAACTGAATATAAATGTCTGTAATTTGCTTATTAAATTTCCTTCTACCATATATGCTCATATTCTCCTGTCTCTACAACTCTTTCTACACCCAATTTTTTTCTACTTTCTAGTTTATATTACTGTCCCTTCTTTCTGACATTGCTACTGAAATAATCTGAGTCTGTCTGAGTTTTGTATTAATTAGTGTGATCACTTTAATTATCTCATCTTTGTGCAACCTACTTATGTTATAATGTACATTTATAATTTGCATCGCAATAGTCCTGTTGAAAATAACCAGTTTTGTTGTTTTATAGCATTCATCCACATGACTGGCATATTAATGCTTTACTCTCAAACAATCTGCAAGGGATCCATTCCATGAGATGATTCAAGAGCACAAATTGAAGAGTGTGGAAGCCATGTCTGAATGGTAACAATGGATACAGAATGTGGTCAGGGTTTTCACGGCCCCTGTACTGAGACATTACATCAGTCAAACAAGTTGCACAATTTGGGGATTATAATACAAACTGGTCCCTTAATAGACATACGACATCTCAGAAGGTGGAGAACATGAAAGCAAACCGAGCATTGGGATCAAATCTCCTATAAACCTGCATAATATATAATGTGACCTAAAGGTTCCTGAACAATGGTTCACCTGTAATGCTTTATCTGTTAAAAATATTCAACCATTTGAGATCCTCAATCTACTTACTGCATTCTGCAAGACTGTGTGAAAGGTTTCACTGCTACTTAGATTATTCATGTAAATATAATTTTTTTTTAACACACCAGCTGTCTCCCACCGAAGTAGGGTGATCTACAAGAGAAGAAACACTTTCATCATCATTCATTTAATCACTTGTCTTCTTAGTGACTAGATCACAGTGACTAATTTGTTTGAAATCACACTGCTAGAATTTATTTATATGGTCAGTTTGCTACTGTATCTTGTTGTTTAGTGAGAAGTTGATTGTGGTGGCCAAAACAAGTCACTTCTTACCAATTACTGCAAAACTACTTACATGTATATTGGTTGAGTGCAGACTTTAGGTAAGAGAATATATGTATATAGTGTTGGCATGAATAGAGTGCCTTGAGGTGCACAGTCATACAACATATAAAAAGCAATGTTGCATGGTTACAGTGGTGGGCTGATGATGGTAATGGGGGATGGAAGATGGGAGCAAAAATTATTAACAATTCTCATTTTTTGTCAGTCTATATGTGTGCTGGCTGACTTATTTTACAAACAGGTGAAAAGAGAACAGGTAAATATTTTTAAAGATAATTGAAATTAGGTGGGTGCCAAACGTCGATTAAACAAAACCAAAACAAAGGCATCTGACGAAAGAGTTTAAAAAGAAAAGAAACTGTCTTGTAACACCCTCCTCTCTACCTATGGGTCAGAAAGTATGCAATGTATTAAGTAACCTGATACTGTACTTTTCAGCAATCAGCTAAGATATCTTCTTAGACTTCTTAAGACTACAGTGCATTGAGAATGAAAACTATTCTCTTAAGACTGTTTAGACTACAGTGCACTGAGAATAAAAACTATCCTCTTAAGACTGTTTAACTGAGAATAAAAGCTATCTGTTTTAACTTAATTTAAATATACTTTTCAGTGATCCAGCTGCATAGAGCAAAACAAAATTTAAGAAAAAATAAGTTAATATCATGACCATAATTGCATTTATTTAAAATAGATCATTCTCATCATAGCTAATACAGCTAGTGGTAGAAAATTTGCATTTCCTCCAGTGATGGGCAACATCTGAAAATATGATTGCCAAATTGCTAGGCACACTACCAAATACCTAATACTAAGACTAGGATAATTACAAGAAATCAATGCTACAAACAATCCTGGTTACAACTAGTGAAAATACTGCTGCTAAATAAATGTGAGTATACAATAGATGTGCATCTGCTTCTTTAATCACATATTGCTGCTGGCTCACTCTATCACTTCCTGGTAATGATCAGCTCTTGAGTACTTAGTAAACTATATCACAGCTATTTTCTCTTAGATAAACACAGATGTTACTGAAATTTTTTGTCTCCCTCCTTACTGACAACAAGGAATAAAACCAGCAGAAACATTGTGACGTTCATGCTGGGTGAAATCAACCATTATTACTGGACAAACTTCCTGAGATGAAGAATCATCATACTTGTTTTGTGTCACATCACATTCTACATTTCTGTATTGACCTTTCATGTAATATGTGTATATCACTGACAAATATTATTTATCCTTTTAGCCATTATTATAGTCCTACAGTTGAAAGGAATACTGGAAAACACATAGACAACTGTATCAGTGTATGTAAGCTACTACTGCTAAAGTTTGTTTTATCAGAGAAAATGATGAACCTGTGCTGGAAATTTCTGTTGTTAAATTGATGAAATACAAATATAATCTTAAAGAGGCATATCAAGTACCTACTCATGTTACACTTAACTAATCTGCATGCACATTAAAAACAAGTAGAAAGAAATCTGTTTTCATTTTTAGTTACTATGAGGAATAAAGATAAGAAGTGTGGCTTCTTTTCATTTCATTAAAATTGTTATTTTAATGCTAAGTCTGCCACAACCTCTTGAATTTGCTGGTGGTGGCCCCCTGAGCAAAGGGCCTAGAAGTGATATTCTACTTTGAAGACGCTGGATCAAGCTAAACGTTGTGTATGAAACGAACCTGAGCAGCCCTGGAGCACAACAGCCAAGCGAGATAAAATAGGAGAGCCCAAACATGATCCAAAAAATTAGAGAAGGAACAAGAGAGGCAGTCAACAAAGAGAGGTGACGAGGACGTTGACTACGACACCTGAAATAGGTGCCTAAAAGAGGTCCTCATCGCCCTCTCTCCTGTTCGTACCTTGCTAGTGGCGAAGAGTAATCCCACACCTTCCATGCACACCTGCAGAAGGCCACCTTCACTAGTCTTCATATCTTGAACAGGAAATTCTCCACCAAGCTCTACACCTGGTAGAGCTCCTACACCCCTGGCAGCAGCTCGTTCCATTGACTCTTTAATGCAGTAGTAGAGGTCTTTACACTGCAAAAATCCAAAATTACATAGTGTAAAAACTATAAGGAAATAAGGGTAAGACAGAAAGCATGACTGCAGATGAAGTTACAAGGAGGATGTGTGGACCAATGTTTACACTGAAGCATATAAGTAAACAATATTTAGATAAAAGTAAGGAAGTTTTTGTTGCTTTCATGGATTTAGAAAAGGCATATGATAGGGTGGATAGGGGAGGAATGTGGCAGATGTTGCAAATGTATGGAATAGGTGGTAGGTTACTGAATGCTGTAAAGTTTTTATGAGGATAGTGAGGCTCAGGTTAGGATATGTAGGAGAGAAGGAGATTATTTTCCAGTAAAAGTAGGCCTAGACAGGGACGCATGATGTTACCATGGGAAAAAGGTGGGTGGTGTATTGAGGCATCTATGGAAACAACGAATGTTATTCATGGAGGCAAAGAAGGAAATGTATGAGAGTATAGTGGTACTAACACTCTTATACAGGCATGAAGCATGGGCTGTTTATGTTGCAGTAAGAAGGGTGAAGGCAATGAAGAGGTAATGTCTCAGAGATTTTTTTTTTATCAACAAGTTGGCCGTCTCCCACTGAGGCACATCCAAACTGTCAATATCCCAGACCCCTCCTTTAAAGTGCAGGCATTGTACTTCCCATTTCCAGGACTCAAGTCTGGCTTAAATTTATAATAACTGGTTTCCCTGAATCCCTTCACTAAATATTACCCTGCCCACACTCCAGCAGATCATCAAGTCCCAAAAACCATTCGTCTCCATTCACTCCTATCTAACACACTCACACATGCTTGCTGGAAGTCCAAGTCCCTCACCCACAAAACCTCCTTTACCCCCTCCCACCATCCTTTTTGAAGACGACCCCTACCCCTCCTTCCTTTCCCTTTAGATTTATACACTCTCCAAGTCATTCCACTTTGATCCATTCTCTCTAAATGACAAAACCACCTCAACAACCCCTCTTCAGCCCTCTGACTAGTACTTTTAGTAACTCCACACCTCCTCCTAATTTCCACACTCTGAATTCTCTGCATAATATTTACATCACACATTGCCTTAGACAGAACATCTCTACTGTCTCCAGCCACCTCCTGGCTGTAGCATTTACAATCTAAGCTTCACACCCATATAAGAGTGTTGGTACTACTATACTTTCACACATTCCCTTCTTTGCCTCCATAGATAACGTTTTTTGTCTCCACAGATACCTCAATGCACCACTCACCTTTTTTCCTTCATCAATTCTATGATTAACCTCATCCTTCATAAACCCATCTACTTACAAGTCAACTCCCAAATATCTGAAAACATTCACTTCTTCCATACTCCCTCTCTCCAATGTGATATCCAATTTTTCTTTATCTAAATCATTTGATACCCTCATCACCTAAGGGAAATGTGTGGTGTAAATATTATGCAAAGAATTCATAGCTTGGAGATTAGGAGGAGGTGCAGAGTAACTAACAGTATTACCCAGAAGGCTTAGAAGGGGTTGTTGAGGTGCTGTGAATATTTAGAAAGGATGGAGCAAAATAAGATGACTTTGAGGGTGTACAAATTTGTAGTAGAGGGAAGGTGGCATAGGGGCTGTCCTAGGAAACGTTGGAGGGAGAAGGTAAAGGACGATTTTATATGTGAGGGAAATGGACATCCAGCAGGTGTGTACGAGCGTGTTAAACTAGGAGTGAGTGGAGGCAAATGGTTTTTGGAACTTGGCTGTATAATATTCACACCACCCACTGCCCTTAACTTTCTCCTTGCTGTAATGTTTAAAACCCATGCTTTGCACCCAAGTGTCAATACCAGTATAAGTTTGGTACATTCCCATTTTAACCCTGATGACATACCATATCCTTGTCTAACATCTACCTTTAATGGAAAATAATCCTCATCTCTCTGAAAATACAATTCTAGAATATTTAAATGCACTAGCTTAATGATGAGCCATACAGTAATGCCATATTTAAAAATTAGGTTTACCTTTTTCGTGTAATATTTGTGTAGCTGAGTTTGACCTCCATTACGACGCCACAAACAGAGAACTTTATTCTTAGGTGAATATGTCATATTGACAAGACGCTCAAACCACCACCGCTCAACAATAACTCCTCCAACTGATCTTAATATAAGGCCATCATCACGAACTTCTAGGAAAAGCAGATCACCTGTAAATATTTGGAACTTTTAGGAACTTACAGGAAAAGCAGGTCACCTGTAAATACTGTATACTGAACTATTTAAAAAAGGTCACCTGCAAATACTGTAGACTGAACTTGCTATAAAAGGTCACCTGTAAATACTGTATACAGAACCTGTTATAAAAGTAGGTCACCTGTATAATATTTGGAACTTGTAAGAAAAGCAGATCACCTGTAAATTTATGGAACTTCTATGAAAAGCAGGTCAAATATAAATATATGGAACCTCTGGAAAAAACAAGTAACTGGAAAATTTATGGGGAATATGTTACAATATTAGAGGACTGCTGTAGATTTTTTTTTTTATTATCACACTGGCCGATTCCCACTAAGGCAGGGTGGCCCGAAAAAGAAAAACTTTCACCATCATTCACTCCATCACTGTCTTGCCAGAAGGGTGCTTTACGCTACAGTTTTTAAACTGCAACATTAACACCCCTCCTTCAGAGTGCAGGCACTGTACTTCCCATCTCCAGGACTCAAGTCCGGCCTGCCGGTTTCCCTGAACCCCTTCATAAATGTTACTTTGCTCACACTCCAACAGCACGTCAAGTATTAAAAACCATTTGTCTCCATTCACTCCTATCAAACACGCTCATGCATGCCTGCTGGAAGTCCAAGCCCCTCGCACACAAAACCTCCTTTACCCCCCTCTCTCCAACCTTTCCTAGGCCGACCCCTACCCCGCCTTCCTTCCACTACAGACTGATACACTCTTGAAGTCATTCTGCTTCGCTCCATTCTCTCTATATGTCCGAACCACCTCAACAACCCTTCCTCAGCCCTCTGGACAACAGTTTTGGTAATCCCGCACCTCCTCCTAACTTCCAAACTACGAATTCTTTGCATTATATTCACACCACACATTGCCCTCAGACATGACATCTCCACTGCCTCCAGCCTTCTCCTTGCTGCAACATTCATCACCCATGCTTCACACCCATACAAGAGCATTGGTAAAACTATACTCTCATACATTCCCCTCTTTGCCTCCAAGGACAAAGTTCTTTGTCTCCACAGACTCCTAAGTGCACCACTCACTCTTTTCCCCTCATCAATTCTATGATTCACCTCATCTTTCATAGACCCATCCGCTGACACGTCTACTCCCAAATATCTGAATACATTCACCTCCTCCATACTCTCTCCCTCCAATCTGATATTCAATCTTTCATCACCTAATCTTTTCGTTATCCTCATAACCTTACTCTTTCCTGTATTCACCTTTAATTTTCTTCTTTTGCACACCCTACCAAATTCATCCACCAATCTCTGCAACTTCTCTTCAGAATCTCCCAAGAGCACAGTGTCATCAGCAAAGAGCAGCTGTGACAACTCCCACTTTGTGTGTGATTCTTCATCTTTTAACTCCACGCCTCTTGCCAAGACCCTCGCATTTACTTCTCTTACAACCCCATCTATAAATATATTAAACAACCACGGTGACATCACACATCCTTGTCTAAGGCCTACTTTTACTGGGAAATAATTTCCCTCTTTCCTACATACTCTAACTTGAGCCTCACTATCCTCGTAAAAACTCTTCACTGCTTTCAGTAACCTACCTCCTACACCATACACTTGCAACATCTGCCACATTGCCCCCCTATCCACCCTGTCATATGCCCCTTCCAAATCCATAAATGCCACAAAGACCTCTTTAGCCTTATCTAAATACTGTTCACTTATATGTTTCACTGTAAACACCTGGTCCACACACCCCCTACCTTTCCTAAAGCCTCCATGTTCATCTGCTATCCTATTCTCCATCTTACTCTTAATTCTTTCAATAATAACTCTACCATACACTTTACCAGGTATACTCAGCAGACTTATCCCCCTATAATTTTTACACTCTCTTTTATCCCCTTTGCCTTTATACAAAGGAACTATGCATGCTCTCTGCCAATCCCTAGGTACCTTACCCTCTTCCATACTATAATTCCCCCACCACTGCTTTTAGACATTTCTATCTTTATCCCATCAATCCCGGCTGCCTTACCCCCTTTCATTTTACCTACTGCCTCACGAAACTTCCCCCACACTCACAACTGGCTCTTCCTCACTCCTACAAGATGTTATTCCTCCTTGTCCTATACACGAAATCACAGCTTCCCTATCTTCATCAACATTTAACAATTCCTCAAAATATTCCCTCCATCTTCCCAATACCTCTAACTCTCCATTTAATAACTCTCCTCTCCTATTTTTAACTGACAAATCCATTTGTTCTCTAGGCTTTCTTAACTTGTTAATCTCACTCCAAAACTTTTTCTTATTTTCAACAAAATTTGTTGATAACATCTCACCCACTCTCTCATTTGCTCTCTTTTTACATTGCTTCACCACTCTCTTAACTCTCTCTTTTTCTCCATATACTCTTCCCTCCTTGCATCACTTCTACTTTGTAAAAACTTCTCATATGCTAACTTTTTCTCCCTTACTACTCTCTTTACATCATCATTCCACCAATCGCTCCTCTTCCCTCCCGCACCCACTTTCCTGTAACCACAAACTTCTGCTGAACACTCTAACACTACATTTTTAAACCTACCCCATATCTCTTCGACCCCATTGCCTATGCTCTCATTAGCCCATCTATCCTCCAATAGCTGTTTATATCTTACCCTAACTGCCTCCTCTTTTAGTTTATAAACCTTCACCTCTCTCTTCCCTGATGCTTCTATTCTCCTTGTATCCCATCTACCTTTTACTCTCAGTGTAGCTACAACTAGAAAGTGATCTGATATATCTGTGGCCCCTCTATAAACATGTACATCCTGAAGTCTACTCAACAGTCTTTTATCTACCAATACATAATCCAACAAACTACTGTCATTTCGCCCTACATCATATCTTGTATACTTATTTATCCTCTTTTTCTTAAAATATTATTACCTATAACTAAACCCCTTTCTATACAAAGTTCAATAAAGGGCTCCCATTATCATTTACACCTGGCACCCCAAACTTACCTACCACACCCTCTCTAAAAGTTTCTCCTACTTTAGCATTCAGGTCCCCTACCACAATTACTCTCTCACTTGGTTCAAAGGCTCCTATACATTCACTTAACATCTCCCAAAATCTCTCTCTCTCCTCTACATTCCTCTCTTCTCCAGGTGCATACACGCTTATTATGACCCACTTTTCGCATCCAACCTTTACTTTAATCCACATAATTCTTGAATTTACACATTCATATTCTCTTTTCTCCTTCCATAACTGATCATTTAACATTACTGCTACCCCTTCCTTTGCTCTAACTCTCTCAGATACTCCAGATTTAATCCCATTTCTTTCCCCCCACTGAAACTCCCCTACCCCCTTCAGCTTTGTTTTGCTTAGGGCCAGGACATCCAACTTCTTTTCATTCATAACATCAGCAATCATCTGTTTCTTGTCATCCGCACTACATCCACGCACATTTAAGCATCCCAGTTTTATAAAGTTTTTCTTCTTCTCTTTTTTAGTAAATGTCTACAGGAGAAGGGGTTACTAAAAAGGATATATCTGGAGACTAAAAAGGATATATCTGTTTATTTTATTCTTCTATATACAGCAGCTCTACAAAGATAATACTGTAGCAGCTTCATGTGATAAAATGCATGGTGAACAGCATGGTTTATACTGCTTATGTCATACATTTATTATAGTACTAATTTTTTTTTTAAAACATCAGCTGTCTCCCACTGAGGCAGGGTGACCCAAAAAGAAAGAAAAACCCAAAAAGAAAAGAAAAAACTTTCATCACAGTTAAACACTTTCACCATCACTCATACATAATCACTGTTTTTGCAGAGGTGCTCAGATACAACAGTTTAGATGTCCCCCCCCCAAACTGTCAATATCCCAAACCCCCTCCTTTAAAGTGCAGGCATTGTACTTCCCATATAGTACTAAATATAGCTACCAAAATGTTTTATTCCATCAAGAGGCCAAAACTACAAACTAAGAGTAGAAGAGCTGCTGAATAAATGAACGACATATATGTATATATTGGAGTTTACCTGGAGAGAGTTCCGGAAGTCAACGCCCCCGCGGCCCGGTCTGTGACCAGGCCTCCTGGTGGATCAGAGCCTGATCAACCAGGCTGTTGCTGCTGGCTGCACACAAACCAACGTACGAGCCACAGCCCGGCTGGTCAGGAACCGACTTTAGGTGCTTGTCCAGTGCCAGCTTGAAGACTGCCAGGGGTCTGTTGGTAATCCCCCTTATGTATGCTGGGAGGCAGTTGAACAGTCTTGGGCCCCTGACACTTAATGTATGGTCTCTTAACGTGCTAGTGACACCCCTGCTTTTCATTGAGGGGATGTTGCATCGTCTGCCAAGTCTTTTGCTTTCGTAGTGAGTGATTTTCGTGTGCAAGTTCGGTACTAGTCCCTCTAGGATTTTCCAGGGTATATAATCATGTATCTCTCCCTGCCTGCGTTCCAGGGAATACAGGTTTAGGAACCTCAAGCGCTCCCAGTAATTGAGGTGTTTTATCTCCGTTATGCGCGCCGTGAAGGTTCTCTGTACATTTTCTAGGTCAGCAATTTCACCTGCCTTGAAAGGTTCTGTTAGTGTGCAGCAATATTCCAGCCTAGAGAGAACAAGTGACCTGAAGAGTGTCATCATGGGCTTGGCCCCCCTAGTTTTGAAGGTTCTCATTATCCATCCTGTCATTTTTCTAGCAGATGCGATTGATACAATGTTATGGTCCTTGAAGGTGAGATCCTTCGACATGATCACTCCCAGGTCTTTGACGTTGGTGTTTCGCTCTATTTTGTGACCAGAATTTGTTTTGTACTCTGATGAAGATTTAATTTCCTCGTGTTTACCATATCTGAGTAATTGAAATTTCTCATCGTTGAACTTCATATTGTTTTCTGCAGCCCACTGAAAGATTCGGTTGATGTCCGCCTGGAGCCTTGCAGTGTCTGCAATGGAAGACACTGTCATGCAGATTCGGGTGTCATCTGCAAAGGAAGACACGGTGCTGTGGCTGACATCCTTGTCTATGTCAGATATGAGGATGAGGAACAAGATGGGAGCGAGTACTGTGCCTTGTGGAACAGAGCTTTTCACCGTAGCTGCCTCGGACTTTACTCTGTTGACGACTACTCTGTGTTCTGTTAGTGAGGAAATTATAGATCCATCGACCGACTTTTCCTGTTATTCCTTTAGCACGCATTTTGTGCGCTATTACGCCATGGTCACACTTGTCGAAGGCTTTTGCAAAGCCTGTATATATTACATCTGCATTCTTTTTGTCTTCTAGTGCATTTAGGACCTTGTCGTAGTGATCCAATAGTTGAGACAGACAGGAGGACCTTTCTAAACCCATGTTGCCCTGGGTTGTGTAACTGATGGGTTTCTAGATGGGTGGTGATCTTGCTTCTTAGGACCCTTTCAAAGATTTTTATGATATGGGATGTTAGTGCTATCGGTCTGCAGTTCTTTGCTGTTGCTTTACTGCCCCCTTTGTGGAGTGGGGCTATGTCTGTTGTTTTTAGTAACTGTGGGACGACCCCCGTGTCCATGCTCCCTCTCCATAGGATGGAAAAGGCTTGTGATAGGGGCTTCTTGCAGTTCTTGATGAACACGGAGTTCCATGAGTCTGGCCCTGGGGCAGAGTGCATGGGCATGTCATTTATCGCCTGTTCGAAGTCATTTGGCGTCAAGATAACATCGGATAGGCTTGTGTTAACCAAATTTTGTGGCCCTCTCATAAAAAACTCATTTTGATCTTCGACTCTCAGTCTGGTTAGCGGCTTGCTAAAAACTAGTCATATTGGGACTTGAGTAGCTCACTCATTTCCTTGCTGTCATCTGTGTAGGACCCATCTTGTTTAAGTAGGGGCCCAATACTGGACGTTGTTCTGACTTTGATTTGGCATAGGAGAAGAAATACTTTGGGTTTCTTTCGATTTCATTTATGGCTTTTAGTTCTTCCCGCGATTCCTGACTCCTATAAGATTCCTTTAGCTTAAGTTCGATGCTTGCTATTTCTCTGACCAGTGTCTCCCTACGCATTTCAGATATATTGACCTCTTTTAGCCGCTCTGTTATTCTTTCCGTCGCCTGTAAAGGGAGCGCCTGTCTCTTTCTATTTTACATTTACTCCTCCTTTTTCTTAGAGGAATAAGCCTTGTGCATACATCGAGTGCCACCAAGTTAATCTGTTCTAGGCATAAGTTGGGGTCTGTGTTGCTTAGTATATCTTCCCAGCTTATATCGGTTAGGACTTGGTTTACTTGGTCCCACTTTATGTTTTTGTTATTGAAGTTGAATTTGGTGAATGCTCCCTCGTGCTAGTCTCATTATGTCGGTCTGGGGCTCCACGCATACATGTCTGAACCTCAATTATGTTGTGATCTGAGTATATTGTTTTTGATATGGTGACATTTCTTATCAGATCATCATTGTTAGTGAAGATGAGGTCTAGTGTATTCTCCAGTCTAGTAGGCTCTATTATTTGCTGGTTTAAATTGAATTTTGTGCAGAGATTTAAAAGCTCGTGTGAGTGTGAGTTTTCATCAGAGCTGCCTCCTGGTGTTATTACTGCAACAATATTATTTGCTATATTCCTCCATTTTAGGTGCCTTAAGTTGAAATCCCCCAGGAGCAAGATGTTGGTGCAGGAGCTGGAAGATTTTCCAGACAGTGGTCAATTTTTAACAGCTGTTCCTGGAATTGCTGGGATGTTGCATCCAGAGGCTTGTAGATTACCACAATGACTAGGTTTTGGTTCTCGACCTTTACTGCTAAAACTTCCACTAAATCATTTGAGGCACAACAATTTTACTAACCTGATGCATCAGTACCCGAATGAACAGTGAAGCTCTGGCGGTGCATCTGCCTTGATCCCAGAGGTCTTAAGTCAATGTCATTGCCATGCTGAAGGAAAAGTTGAAAAATATTTTTATTTTAATATAAATTATTTCTAAAGCTATTTAGTTTCATAAAGATGAACAAAAATACAGTACTAACATTTCCTTCCTTCAGAAAAAAATATGATATGATACACAAAAGTAAAATTCTTACCAAATTATTTATATTTAATATAAAATATTTTTATACCTAATAAGTTTTGCACAGCTGAACAAAAATACAGTACGAACATCCCTTTCAGAAAACAATATGATAACAATACACAGAAGTAAAATTCTTACCAAATTATTTATCTGATCAAGTAGTTCATTAACTTCTTGACTGTACACAAGACCAATGTGTGACTTGCCAAGTAACCTGCGCACCTTCCTCTTAATGTCTTCTTTACGAACATTGACCATTACCATAAAGGCAACAAGGTTGTAGAGCATTGTGGATAGTAATCTGTCCTCCTCGTGCTCCAAACGCTTTCGTTCAGATTCACTCAGACTATTGTATCTGCAATAACAAGTCAGATGACTTAGTTGATGTGCGTTTATGACAATATTAATTTTACTACCCTATATGTATCTTTCATGCCTTCTTCAATTTAGAATGAGAGTGAGAGAGAAAGAATGAATGTGAAAGAAATAATGAGAGTGAGAGAGGATGAGAGAGTGAGAGAATGAGAGTGAGAGAGAGAGAATGAGAGGGAGAGAGAGAGAATGAGAGGGAGAGAATGAGTGAGAAAGAGAATGAGAATGAGTGTGTGAATGTGTTTGTAGTGTAGTTCTCAGTCACACCTCATAACTCTTATCAACCAGTTTTACTGTTTATTATTGTGTTTTAGATTTTGTTAAAAATACATACTTCACTATACATTTTCAAATTTTTATAGATGTTACTTTATAATCAGCAGCTTTACTAGACAAACTACATGAAAAAGGCACATTAACTAAGTGCCTTCTCCAATATCATTACATACCTCTCCATCATTTCACTTGGTCCCTGGTCCATCCCCACCATGTCTCTCTCCTGAGCAACTGCATCTAGAAAACAGTCTTCCCAAAACTGCATCTGGTCCCAGAGTGGTGATCTCTCCTTACCTATAAGACCTGCAAAAAAAAAAAAAAAAAAAAATCCAGCAAATTACACTTTTTTTTAACACACTGGCCATTTCCCACCAAGGCACGGTGACCCACAAAAAAGAAACACTTTCATCATCATTCACTCCATCACTGTCTTGCCAGAGGTGTGCCTACACTACAGTTAAAAAAAACTGCAACATATTTCCACCCCTCCTTTAGAATGCAGGCACTGCACTTCCCACCTCCAGGACTCAAGTCTGGCTTGCCAGTTTCCCTGACTCCCTTCATAAATTACACATGTTCACTAAATATCCATCCATCTATCTATCCTTCACTAAGCACTATAGCAATCATTACTGATATATCCTTGTCTGCAAGCTAATGCATAATTACTAGAAATCATGATGTACTTTTTTCATTATTTTGCTCTTGTATCTACTTTTTATACTGGCATTCAATCAGAGGTAGGGGTCGGCCTAGGAAAGGTTGGAGGGAGGGGGTAAAGGAGGTTTTGTGTGCGAGAGGCTTGGACTTCCAACAAGCGTGCATGAGTGTATTTGATAGGAGTGAATGGAGACAAATGGTTTTTAATACTTGACGTGCTATTGGAGTATGAGCAAAGTAACATTTATGAAGAGATTCAGGGAAACCGGCAGGCCGAACAAGAGTCCTGGAGATGGGAAATACAGTGTCTACACTCTGAAGGAGGGGTGTTAATGTTGCAGTTTTATAACTGTAGTGTAAAGCACCCCTCTGGCAAGACAGTGATGGAGTGAATTATGATGAAAGTTTTTCTTTTTCAGGCCACCCCACCTTGGTGGGAATCGGCCAATGTGTTAATAAAAAAGATAGTTTTAACTGATTTCCTGTGTTAGCTTAAGTCTTACCTAAAACATTGATTGTCATATGGGCTTTGTAAAAATGTTTGTAAAAACATATCTATGTAGCACATATGAATGTAATTATTCATTGAATAAAAATTTGAATATTAAGAGCTGACATGATCTGTGCTTAATTAAGGATGGATCATGTACATTTAACATATTGTGACTAAGTGAAAAATACAGTACAAGAGTATATTACATCAAAGGTTAAAAATAGCTAAGACACCCTTTGAACTGCTCACAAGCTTCTGTTATATTATAAAGAAAACTGACCTCATCAGAAAGCTAAGTTTCTGAAAGTTACCATATTGCATATGATCATAGTTTTTAATTATTACTACAGCATATGGAAAGTCCATTACTGAATATAAAATCTTGGATACAGTGCAGTATTACAAAGTTATTTCCCAAGTAAATTACATTTAAAAGCAAATCTATGACATAAATAAGAGCTAGCAAGGTTGTTGAGGTTGGAAGGCAGAGTTTAGGTCACCAGGGCTCCCAGCAGCCCTGACCTACCCTTGTTAATTATGACCTCCACTACTCGCTGGATTGTGTGATAATCTGAGTGTGCTTTTCTTTCTACTACTTATTAAAAAACTTTTGCTTTACATTCATAGGCGTGGGGTTTTATATGGTAGGATTGTGAGAAGGTATATATTAGTAATGTCTTGTATTGACTGTAACTGGAATGTACCTATCAATGAGCCCATTTTGCTACTTTTTGCAACAATATTAATTGTGGTATCACAATGAAAGTACATGCATATGTACTAAGAAAATCCTTCTGAGGGCATTTTTCTGGTAAGGGGATAACAATCTTTTGTCAATGCCTGCAACCACAATGGCTCAAGCCTCCCACACCTTCAGCACTCAGGAAAGAGGTAGTGTTGATTAAGATACTAAGTCTGTTTCAAGTCTTCCATCCTTCTCACTGACAGAGATAAGTACTCTAGTAATGCCTCCACACGGCAGAGACTGGAGCTTCCAAGTAGTCCTTGGATCATAATGTCAATTGGAAGGAGATAGGCATTAACGAAGACCAAACTAGGAGTGAGGGGAAAATGGTGGGGAAAATAGAGAGACAGGTTTTACCATATAAACTGTGAGCTACTAGAGACTTGCTCCTCCTTCCAGGAACTGACTTCCCTTCCCTGATGAAGCAAAAGGTTTATGTAAATGGTATTTAATTTTAGTTTTTCATTTAGTTTAATACAGGCTAGAGTACACTTCATGAAGCACGTAATCGAGGATACTATGATGTGTCCAAGTTGTTAATTGAAGCAGGAGCAGGCATTAATGCTGAAGGTTTAAACAACGATCCTGGACAATATCTGCAATTGTCACTACTCAGCTTCAGCAGGTGGTATTATATTAACATATAAACACTTCTGGAAAGAGTGACTGAGTGAATGAATGATAGTGAATGTTGTTCGTCCCTCTGTGTCGCCCTGCCTTGGCAGGAGATGGCGGTAGCTGCAGTAAAAACAAAAAACCTGTCCTTCAATATAGTCATAAAAACAATCTTTAATAACCTTTTTTGTACAAATCCAAACACAGATAAATTAGGACAATACAATTTTGTCTTCATACAATTTAAGCATATTAATAAATATAAAGATTAATGTATTTACAGTGTATAGTATATAATTATGAATGATGCTATGTGATATTTTCTATTGAAAAATGTTAAGAGGGACACTTAAATAGATCATTACACACAAGAGATTGCCATGTTGTATGTATAATACTTTTTTTCTCTCATATTCATGATAATTTTATGAGATAATGTCAAGTCATAACAATACAATGTCTCATCATTTATATTGTTATAAGAATTTATTAAAAAAAATTTGGATGTTCAAGCTGTGTCATTAGTGAAAAATATCAAAGTGTAAAAGCATCTAACCTTCAAAGAGGTATGTTATCTTTCTGAGTTCATGAGAGGAGTAGTTGATGTAGGATAATTACCAGCATGATACAAACCCTGTTGAAATGGTATGACTCTTGACCAAATACTGGACTTTCTTAGATCCGTGGAAATGCAAAAAAAACAAAAAAAAAAAACATAAGAGGTTTTCAATGAAATGAAGAGATTAAGAAGTTGATATATAAAGATGAACTAATGTAAAATTATTGTAAAAGTGAACTCATAAGGACACTGTACAAAAAGAAGAAGTATAATACAGAGAGGGGTCTGCAAGCAATGTCACAAGTTACTGGCTCTTTATCATGTCCACCAAACTGGATGTTAAACCTCATTTACAACCACATACTGATAATGCACTGACAACAGAGCAAGTGTGTGAGATATCCAGATGTAAATGAACTGGTAATGCAGTGGATACCTTTGTGTGTGAGATATCCAGAGTAAATGACACTGAAATGCAGTGGATACCTTTGTGTGTGAGATATCCAGAGTAAATGACACTGAAATGCAGTGGATACCTTTATTAATGAGAGCACTTTTCTCACACAGCAGTCAGTGGACAATGAATGAGAAACAGAAGTACAGTGTAACTCCAACTTACGATGTTTCACTCTTATGACAGTGGTACTGTGGAACCAATTAATTACTTACGAACAAGAATGTGTTCTTATGGTGGGAAGAGTATACATTTTAAAAATTTTTAAAAATTAATTATGCTGTAAATAATATTTTCTTTTTTTTTTGGTTAGTTTTTACCAAATGCATTCATATTTTGTTTATGTTTATGCATGTATAGAAAACTAACATTTGTTTGATGAAGATTGGTCAAGAACTCTAGATTTAATTCTTATGTTTTTATTAAGAATAAATTATATACAGTGGAACCTCTACTTACGAGTGTATCCATGTGCGAGTTTTTCCAGATACAAGCAATCGCTCGGTCAATTTTTGCTTCCAGACGCGAGCAAAATTTACAGATGCAAGTGGGTCTCAAGGGAGGTTCCTTGATGCTGGTGAGGGGCTCTTGCTCTTGATCTAGGGAATTTGATCTCAGTTGTTTGTTGGACTATTTTACTGAAACTTAGGCAATGTATGGTGGAAAGATGCTTCTTAATATACACCAAAAAAAATGAAAGAAATCAGACCATAAATAATGGAGTTCACTTTTCGGCCATTAGCCTACCCTTAGCGGTATATTTTCATATGGTTTTTATGGTTGTACGTATTCTCGTTTTTTGGTCTCATTTGATAGAATGGAAGATATAATATATAAATTCGTACATACATATGATTTTGATTGGTTTCACAATGAAAAGTACCTTGAAAATGAGCTCAAAGTAGTAGAAATGTTCGATTCTGTGGCGATGTTTCAAGAGTAAACAAATAACGTCACCATCCAACACCTGTTTGATTGGCACTGCCCCACAACCTTCACATATTGGACAGCTCTTCAACATGCTAGCAAAATACACAAATAACCCGCACATAAAAGAGAGAAGCTTACGATAACGTTTCGGTCCGACTTGGACCATTTACAAAGTCACACAGTGTGACTTTGTAAATGGTCCAAGTCGGACCGAAATGTAGTTGTAAGCTTCTCTCTTTTATGTGTGGGTTATTTGTGTATCGTTCCAGTCACGGTATTGTGCCTTTTTTTGTTATTTATGCTAGCAAAAGTGGAAGCAGACATCATGAGGTAGCAGTGGCAGACAACATGAAGCAGCAGTGGCAGACAATATGAAGCAGCAGTGACATACAACATGAAGCAGCAGTGGCAGACAACATGAAGCAGCAGTGGCAGACATCATGAAGCAACAGTGGCAGACAACATGAAACAGCAGTGGCAGACAACATGAAACAGCAATGGCAGACAACATGAAGCAGCACTACATACCTCTTTCCTACACATGCACACACACACACACACACGCACACACACACAGGCACGCACAGACTCTCTCATTCTCTCTATAACATGTATACACAAATTAAAGTATGTTTAATATTATTTTTAAGTGAAAAAGAACAGTACTGAATGTAAAATAGTAGCTTACAAATTCTTTGGAAAAAATAGCTGATATAAGCTAGGTAATATTATGGTCTTGGAATGCATTAATTAATTTTACATTGTTTCATATGGGAAAATAGGTTCCGAGTACCAAACGACTGACTTATGATGAATTTTCAGGAACAAATTGTGGTAAGGTAGAGGCCCTCTTGTACAGTATATACTGGTACATACACAGATACAGTCAAAGGAAGGTGAAATACAGGAGTATTTCTTGGTGAAGGAGACCTGCTGGGTGTATGTAGGACATAAGAATTAAAAGACAATGCGAGGTCACCCAGAGAACACTTCAGAAAGCTGAGGAGGGGTTGTTGAGGTGATCTGGACATTCAGAGAGAATAGAAAGGGATAGGAAAAAGAGGGTGAATAAATTTGGGGTAGAAGGTAGAAAAGGCAAAGGTCATCCCAGAAATGGTTGATTGGAGGGGAAGGAGGGGTAATAGAGGTTTTGAGTGTTAGGGACTTGAGCATCTAGTAAGCTTGTGTGAGTGTTTTAGATAAGAATAAGTGGAGACAAGTGTTGATGACTGGAGATGACAATGCAGTGTGAGTAAACTAACATTTATGAAGGGATTTAAGGTGACCAGTTAGCTGGCCTGGAGTCCTGGTGAGAAGGACAATGCATTACATGTGTATATACATGCATACATATAACCTTCTTTCTTGTTTTTGTATCTGATATAGAAAGGGTTACTAGGTCCTTCCTCCCAGTATATTACTTGCCTTGGTATGACTTGCATTACTTATGGGAGAAGGATTTTAGTCCCTCTTGTGGAACTGAAAGTGAACACTACAGTGAAAAAAAACTATTAAGAACTTAGAAGAAACCTTAGATGAGCTGTAGCTAAAGCTTGATTTTTTTTTTTTAACAAGTCGGCCGTCTCCCACCGAGGCAGGGGGACCCAAAAAGAAAGAAAATCCCCAAAAAGAAAATACTTTCATCATCATTCAACACTTTCACCTCACTCACACATAATCACTGTTTTTGCAGAGGTGCTCAGAACACAACAGTTTAGAAGCATATACGTATAAAGATACACAACACATCCCTCCAAACTACTAATATGCTGAACCCCTCCTTTAGAGAGCAGGCATTGTACTTCCCATTTCCAGGACTCAAGTCCGGCTATGTAAAAATAACCGGTTTCCCCGAATCCCTTCACTAAATATTACCCTGCTCACATTCCAACAGATCGTCATATCCCAAATACCATTCGTCTCATTCACTCCCATTGAACATGCTCATGCACGCCTGCTGGAAATCCAAGCCCCTCGCCCACAAAACCTCCCTTACCCCTTCCTTCCAACCATTTCGAGGACGACCCCTACCCCGCCTTCCTTCCCCTACAGATTTATATGCTCTCCATGTCATTCTACTTTGATCCATTCTATTTTGATCCATACTTAGATCCATGCTTGATATCTTTCAAATATTTGCACTGATTTAATAAAATATTTCTTCATTGAAGCAACACTCAGACAGTTTCTCTCATATGAATATGAATAAGCTGGAAAGCAAACACAAAGAGTATAAAAAAGTAGTGTCTCACATTGCCTTGTTCAATTTCTGAATCGGAGACAGTGGACCGGAATGACTGGTGTGAGAGACGTTGTCGCTGGAAAGCGGGGTTGGTTATGATGGAGCCCGTATCACTAGCACCACATGAAGGAGGACCTTCAGAGCCTTGTAGTGTATCTCCTGCTTCAGAGTCCTGAAAATAATTTCACATCAAACAAATTCAAAGAATACATTAATCCAACAACACTAATAAAGAAACACTTTCTATATGTTGAAAATAGAGCTTTGTTTAAGATTCCTTTCAAGCAGGTTATCATGAAGCTACAATCCTCTTAATATAAACCAAAAAAATGGAGCTTCCCTTCTTTGGATCAAGCAAAATTTCCTCCTATTCCTTAGATGCTGTATGACACCTACAAGTCTACATAGGTTAAATCCCCAGTGTTTAAGTCATCCAAAGAGCTGAGCCAAGACCCAATAGATCACCATGAATCATAACAAGATCTATCTCATAGAAAATGATGTATATTAAAATCTCTTCACAGCAGGAGTGGATCAGTTAAAGATATGATCAGGAACCACAAACTGTCTAAAAAAAAAACAGGAAGAGGACAGGTATGAATAAGGAATATATTTCATACCACTTGCCTAAACAAGCATGTGCTGCACGTCAGAATACCTAAATATCTAGTATAGTCATTTAAAATCAATGCTGTTATAGTGTACTAACTTGAGACTGTAGTTTAGAAAGTAAGACATGTCTCTTCTGCACCAGAAGGTCACGTAAAACATCAGAGGCTGCCGTCTCTGCAGATTCAGCTTCTGGTGACCTGAGAGGGTCATGCACCACTCGAGGACCAGATGTAAGAAAAGGACTGTCTGCAATTTTTAAGCAAAGAAATGCACTTAATAATCTAGGACTTTTTTTAATAGTAATACATCAATTGATGTATTAAAACAGTGGCTGTTTCCCACCAATGTAAAGTGACCCTGAGAAGGAAAACACTTTCACTTTTTCTCTAGCTGTCTTTGCAAGTGTGAATGGTAATCACACTTTTAATGCTTCACCAAACTGCAACCTCTTCACCAAATTTTTTATAGTCATTATAATGACTTGGTGAGAGAAGGCTGACGAGGTCAAAAAAAAAAAAAGTCATATACAGTGGTACCTCAGGATACGAATTTATTTTGTTCGAGAAGGTTGTTTGAGTGCCAATACCAAACGAATTTGTTCCCATGAGGAATACATGTAATGTAAATTAGGTTAATCCATTTCAGACCCCCAAAAATACACTTACAAAAGCACTTGCATAAATACACTTACATAACTGTTTGAGTTTTGAGCTGTTCGTATCCCGAGGTACCACTGTATATATCATCAATAGGAAGTTAGCTATTTTTTTCTTTTTCAGTAAGAAGCTTCTCTGATTCATCATTCATAAACATGCAATAAATTTTAAGATCATTTATTTGTATATGACTACTGAAGTACTCACATGCTTCATAATGACCGATACTACGTTATTACTTAAGATTCCTTTCAAAGGGGTTGCTTTGATGAGTAATAAGGGCTCCTGATCCAAGGAATTCCAACTTCACTCCCCATCCTTGAATCAAATGTGATTACCACCCATATCCTAGCCACTGTATTACCCCTATGAGTTTATATGTACGAAAGAGATGTTTCGTGGTAGAAAAGAATAAACGCCAAATTCCAACATCGAAGAAAAATGTAGGCATGGAGGAGATTAAAGTTATAAAGCTCAAGTTACCATACATTTCTATGTGGCTCTGAGCCTAAATTACAGCTGCTGAGGACATTACGTTCACATTCTCACGTGGGGACGAAACATTAACAAATCGATTTGTTCACTAATCCAAGTTTTGGCCATGGTGGAGATTTTGTCCATGGTAGTGCTTATTCACTTCTGCTACACAGTGCCTCATAATAACATAACAGTAATTACAAACTGACATGAAAACTTTCCATCACGCAATACACTCGTTTACAGTTTTGTCTCACCTTATGTACTTCCTTCACACTTTCAGCTCAAATCAAAATATTATTAAACTGTTACTTTAAGGGGTAACATGACAAACAAATAAGAGGAAATAAAAGGAAGTGAGGCAACAATGACAAATGAAAAGAAAAATAAGGGAACTTTATATAATAACAGAAGATGACTAAAAACAAACCAGGTGCAAGCTTAATTAGCGTGCTGAAAGTTGTATTTATAAACAATAAGAAAATATGGTAAAAAAAAAAGGATTAATACAAAGTAACATGAGAAAATTTGTAGATGATATTGATATGTACAACATATGTTTCATTTTATATCAGATATAATAATTTCACTATGAAAAAATAATACATATGTATGACTCACACTTATATGTTGTGCTAAATATATGTTATACTAATGTTCTGGATACAAAATAAACTTTTATAATTAGGAAAAATATTAAAAAATCTGTAAAACTGACTCCACCTAAATTTGCTTAGTGACTATCAAAAAAATTCTAATGCATAAAAGTAGAAGGTTAAGTAAGTACTATAAGTGTTGAGATAGTATACCATCAGAGATAGGAAGCCCTCGACTTATCAAGGTTCCCTAGCTATGAAGCAGTTAACCATTCCCAGGATACAACCCACAAAAGTCCCTTAACAACCAGATACCTGTTTACTACTACATGAAAAGTTCGTGGGTGCAAAGAGCCTTGCCCATATGTCTCACATTACCTAGGAATCATACCCTGGGACTTACAAATTTGGGTAACTGCACCATCCCTTACACTACAAGATCACCGGGTTCTACACTAGTTTTGTATTTTAATCATCATTGGCCTATATCACTCAATACCTTGAAAATAACACTAATATTATTTTGTAATACTTGTTACGGCTTACCAGACTGTGAAGATTTTCGAGAACAATCAGAACTTTCATATGGTGGCTGAGGTGAGTGGGGGGGAAGGGGAGACCCTCTGGGACTACCTGGGGATCGTAGGTTCTCAAGGCTGCCCAAGGGACTGGAAGACTGAAACAGGACATACCAGGGTGGAAAATTTACACTGCATAATTTCTTGTTAATACTTGGTATGGAAAATATTATAGTACAGTACTGTAGTACAAAAAGTATAAATAAAAGCAATACAGTATACCTTTGTGTAGCACATATTTTGCATATTTTTTAATACATTTTCAACATTACACATTTTATAATCTACTGTATTTTAAAGCTTTATTTTTATATGCAAAATCTCCCATTAAGATGCAGTTGAGCCTGTATGTTTCAAACTATGAGTGCTACCCAGGCAATGACTTGAGCCTAGGGCATGTTCACATGTTGTGGTGCGATCTCAGAAACTACCTCCCCTTCTCCCACTCGCTGCCAGCCATGTCTCAGTAACTCTACAGCAACAAAACTACATCATTCTCCTCATACATCCCAAAATATATTTTTTCTTTTGCATCAACCCCTACAATATTTCCCATTAACCATGGTACTATACTCACACAGTGCTAGTACTACTGTTGAGAATTGGGAATTTATGTTGCTGCAGAAGAAATTTAATATGCTATGATAAGCTGCCCAGGATCATCCTCAGTGAACATGGATAGTAAATACAAAATAAATCCATCCATTGTTTGTACAATTATGAAAACTAAGGAAGTCATGCACATACATGGTAATAATGAAGTAATCTCGAGAGTAGGAGGTCAGTGAAATGGAAAAGGCAAAATATCTATTGAATATCTGAGGTAAGAGAAAAATTCAGGAAGGTGCTACACATAGTACTGATGTGCAAAAAACCACTTTGAAAAATTGCTAAATTCCAAGCACTTTTGTGCTTTCTCACATTATCAAGGACCTATGAGGAATCATGAAAGAGCTTGGAATTTCACTATTTTTTCAGTGGTTGTTTTGCATATTGTGATATCACCTATTTACTGTAATCTTATTGCATAGTATTGATGTGATTATGAACATATTGGCTTCATGGACTGATGTGAACCACTCTACTTTAAATTCTGAACCAGGACTCAGATGACTGGTCCCACAATAAGCATCTAAATGACTGGAAACTCAAAACTGGGACTAACGTAACTGATCTCACAACCAGGACTCAGATGACTAGTCCCAAAAACCAGGACTCAGATGACTGGTCCCTCAACCAGGACCCAGATGGCTAGCCAAACTGCCAGGACCCAGATGGCTAGCCAAACTGCCAGGACCCAGATGGCTGGTCCCACAACCAGGACTCAGATGACTGGTCTCACAAACAGGACCCAAATATGTAACTGGTTCAATAATCAGGACTCAGATGACTGGTTGCTCAATCAGAACTCAGATGACTGGTTGCTCAATCACAATGCATATGACTGGTCCAACAACTAGGACTCAAATGATAAAATTTATGGGGTTCTGTGTTCAGTCATTTTAAAGGTTTTCCTTCACTAAAGAAAGATACTTTATTAAGGAATGTTTGGTGGGTAAAAAGAAAATCAACTGGAGAAAATTTTTGGAAGATTGACTTTCTAGGTGGAGGAAAACAGGAACAGGAAAACTGACTCCTATAAACATTCTTACATGAGAAACTGCTTTCATTAATGCACATCCTAGCATGAATAGAAGCCTTAAGCTGAGACAGGGTCTGGTGCAAATGACCATGCTGTATCATGAGTTCTGTAGATCACTGGTAGGTAATACACTGTAGATATGCATTAGAGAAAACTTTACCTCACCAACACAACTATCAACATCTGAAAACTGACCAGCAACAAATACACAGTAACCACAACCCTGTACAAAATATTATAGATGAATGTGTCAGGGCTTGCAGAATGTGAGGTAAGATTGATTAATTATGGGTCAACAACATGTTATGTGACACATGGGCTGCCTCAAGTTGTTACAGTCACCACAATATGAAATTGCAAGTTGCTGTTATAATTACTATTATTATTTGTAAAGTAAAAGGACACAAGTGCAACTAATGTGGCATTTTATTGTGGCAACGTTTCACTCTCCAGGAGCTTTATCAAGCCATTACAAACAATACATGGACACAGAGGGTATATAAAGGCTCAGAGTGAGGTGCAATACTAGTGAGGTACCATCACTAGTATTGTACCTCACTAGTATTGCACCTCACTCTGAGCCTTTATATACCCTCTGTGTCCATGTATTGTTTGTAATGGCTTGATAAAGCTCCTGGAGAGCGAAACGTTACCACAATAAAATGTCACATTAGTTGCACTTGTGTCCTTTTACTTTACATATTGTCGGTAATTCTACCAACTTTATTACTATTATTATTTGCAAAAAGTTTCTGGGGGTTAACTTTCAGAATTTTACAATATAAAAATATAATTTTTCTACATATACTGTACATGTATTTTTGACCTTTAACAGTATAGAATACTGGTACATGGCAACTTTCAGGATTATAATTAGTGCACAGTTCAAGGGCATACTGTATTTTTAAAGTTTCTGCTGACTTTAATTAAAAAAAAAAAAATATTAAAACTTTTTACTTCTCACCTGAGAGAGGGCAGAAGAGCCACCTGACATCTCCATGGCATGTGGGTCAGAGAGGTCACGACTCCAATAATGAGTATGGGAAATTTCCAGAGCCTGGAGAGCTGAGGAGGTACCTCCCACACCAAAGTTATTATAAGTCACTTCCAAACCGGCAACAACGGCATTGATTAACTTCAGCATCCCCTTCCAAACAGGCTTCTTAACACACTGTAGAGTATAAGTCAGGTGATAATACAGCTGCCTATGATTATATAATGTGAACAATACTAAGCTTATAACAAACATTTAGCAATCACACTACTTTAATGGGAGAAAGTCAATGGCCCAAGACAGACTGATATGTTGTCATAAGAGTCTTTCTCCTATGTGTGGGTTATTTGTGCACTGTTCCAGTCATAGTTTTGTGCCTTTTTATTCTTCAATAGTTTGAGTTTATCAAAGTCAATCTAATAACTACAAAAGTTAAATAAATTTTTAAAATATCATACTGCATTTATTATTTTTTGTAATGACCATTTCTCACCAAGCCAGGATGACTCAACTAAAAAGAAAAACACATTCTCTATCACTTATTTCCAGGCTGTTTATCCAGGCATCAGATAGGGCTATAATTAAAAAATGACTTACAACATCATTTATATGATCATCTGGTCCTATCTTCCTTTCAAGTGTGCGATTGAGCCCTGACACGACCAGCATGCGGTAGCTCTCGTCTTCCATTAATTTTCTCACACGGTTCAGTTTTAGCCAACCAATGCCCTCACCTTCAATCACCTGTGTCAGAACCTAAAAAAAATAAAAGAAAACAATTAAATTACTTAAGGAAAAATGTTGCTAAAACAATCAGTGTTATATATTTTATTTAACACATCTTCCATTTCCCACCAAGGCAGGGTGGCCCAAAAGAGAAAACACTTTCACCATCACACACTCAATCACTGTCTTGCCGGAAGGGTGCTAACACCACAGTTCAAAACTGGAAATATCCCCACCCCTCCTGCAGAGTGCAGGCACTGTACAGCCCAGTTCCAGATATCTCCCATGTTCAACTGAACATCTACAGAAATTCTATGTAAATTAAAGGGCCAAAAATATGGAATAACTTGAATGTACCCAAGAAAACATGCTGCCGGTCTACTGTTTTATTTTCAACTATTGTTTACTAAACGAAGGATAGCTGCAAATTAGATATAGTAAGTTATTTGAAGGCTGGATCTGAGAGTTTTACTGTATGATTTAATATCAAGTTTGTCAATACAGAATTTTAAGATCTTTAAATAAGTAAAGTTAAGCTTGAAATCTCTTTAATACTAACAAGAAACAAAACCTAGAGACAACATACATCTTTCAAGAAGGCTTGGTTTTCTGATGCTGAAGTTGTTCTCTGTTCTATGCTTGCAATTTTATTAAGTTCTGCACGTCTTTGAGCAGAGACAGAGTGCCGAATCAACGATGATTTCTCCACTAAGCCTTTCCGTCCTGCAGGATGTCAATACAGCAAATAAAGAGAGATGTTATAATTATATAAGATATAAAAATCAAGAAAAAGAAAAATCTTGAGAAATGACTCTAGAATAAATACGAGATATAATTTTTTAATCAGTTAAGTTAATATAGTACATTTCTTTTTAATTTTTTCCAAGCTCATTCCATAAAATGTATCAACTTGTATAATGCTAAACTGGGATGAGATAAATACTCTACTGCAATTGTATAAAGAATCCTTTGATGGAACAATGAATATATTGCACAAGGTAAAGAGCAAATCATTATTAATATATTAATAAGCTACTTTCTTCATGGCTACACAAAATAACTGCTATAATGTGACTGATTAAAATACAATGTTCAAGTTAGGCACTTCACCTACTGTATGTATATACGTAATTATTATCATTGTTTATACTCATGGAGAAATGCTAAATCTATAGGGGTCACAGCATTTGGGGAATGCAAGGTGATTAGGTTTGATGTAACGTCCTTGGGTCAAAAACCCATCAGTAACATCAAGGCACCCAGCAAAAAACAAAGTAACATACATGTAGTGTATAAGCTTTCCAAGTCAGTAATTCTGAGCATCATTAACCTCCTAATTTCTATGTTATTTTCTATTACATTTAGAGATGCATACCGTAAAATTCCTTTAGACATAGGAGAGGGAGTGCCTTGATGCTAGTTAAGGGCTCTTGATCCAAAGAATTAGCACCACCTCCCAATTCCTTGAATCAAACCTGATTAGTACCTTTGAATTTCTCAACGCTGAGTGACTTATGGGTTCGGCGTTTTCCCATGGCTAATAATCTCCCTAAATTAATTAGAATTTTTTAATGATGTCAAGTTAAGTAAATAAAGTAGATTTTTCTTTGAAAAATAAAAATAAAATTATAATTAAGGACCTGCAGACTGGCTCTGAACTTCAAAACTGCTCCAGAGAAACACCACAGACATTACAACTCAATGATTTGGCCAAGCACAGCTTATACTCTACTGAACTACTTGCATTATATAAATACTCGATTTTTTTTTTTTTCAACAAGTCGGCCGTCTCCCACAGAGGCAGGGTGACCCAAAAAAGAAAGAAAATCCCCAAAAAGAAAATGCTTTCATCATCATTCAACACTTTCTGATATGTATCTGATATCATGATACAAAAATTATGCAATATTCTGAATTTTTCAAAAATGTGTATAAAATAGCCAAACTAAATTTTCATATTAAAAAGTTACATACTGTTTTAAAATTTTAATACATAAATATTTGGATAAATAAAGAATATGTATTAAGTACTTAACAATTCAAAATTGTAATCACACACTGTAAACACTGCAAAGAAATAAAAATCCTTAAGTATAATAGTGCTGGTATAAGTGTTATGAGTGATGCAGGAATAAAGTACAGTAAGAAAAAAAAAAAGTAAGAAAATTCTTGTATGGTGATAAATAAGTGAGAGCACAAGGACGAGAAACAACTGAGGTACTAAAGGGAAATCTGATGCGGCTTCACTATAAACACTGACTCATTATTAATTAATGAGGATAGTAGAATGGTGGCTAAGATATAATTTTGAAAAATGTATACAAAACCAATATATACTGTACTAATGTATATAAACCAACCTACTTTAACATAATTCAACTTGTAACAGATAGTGACTCAAATATGAGCATTGATATAAAGATGTTGTGTTGGGGATAACTAGTACAAGAACCTTCCTAGCAGCTACACTTACATGAAAGGTCTCAGTAATTTCAAAATACAATAATATGAAAGGACATGATACAAAACCACTATTAAAATTTTCTAAAAACTGAAGAAGCAGCTGCTAGTACTACTGCACACTATTAGTGAGGACAATTTCATTCTGCCAAATAAAAAAGTGAATGTTGTATCAACTATTTTTATAAAGTAGGCCACTTAATTCTGCATCTCCTCCTATTGCATTTCCACCAGTTAATGGTTCATTTTCGGTATTCACTTCCTCCTTGTGTTCCAAAGGTTCCTCACCTTTCAGAGGGACTCTACCTTTCTCTACACTGCACTCTGACGTGGGCAGCCACCGTGGCAGCACAGCAGGACAATTTCCCGCACACCTGAGGCTTCTTTTGTTTCATGGCAGACCTAGCATGTTTATGCATGGATTACTGTAGCCTTGTTTACTGACTGGTTCAAGCATTATTTTATTCCCTAATTCATGTTTTCTTTGCACAGCAAGAACCTTGCATTTAAGATTCTCCTGACTTTTTATAATTCCTGTGCTCATCCTGAACTGTTGCAGGATTTGAACCCAAATGTAAAGATTGTTTTTTGCAACCAAATATGACATCACTGATACACTGATGTGTAATTAATACATTAGAGTGTATCTACACATGCCAAGGGGTACAGACACTAGCCATTATAATGAATGATGACTCAGAATTTGGAGTGCAAGAGTTCTGGAACAAATGCAGCATTGCAGATGCAATACACCATATTAAAGCTGCAAGGAATAAGGTGCCCTAATCAACAGTAAATGCAGGCTGGGGAAGATTATGGCTTAGTGCAGTGAGGAATTTCACAGGTTTTTCCTCAGTTGAGTCAGGTACAGGAAATTGCTGATCTGGCAAGGAGATTGCAAGATGAAGGTTTTGAAGACAAGCAACCAGATGTCAATGAATTCTTAGAAGATGGTGAGAAATGAAGAAGTCCAGAGGAAATGCTGACAGAGTTCACTACCCAGGCAGAAGGGAATCAGACAATAGAAGAGAATGAGGAAGAAGAATCTGCAGTTAAACAGTTAATACCAACATTTTGTAAGCAGCTCCATGCTGTTTCTAAAATTGTAGACATTTTCACTGGAGGACTCTGACACATTTAAATGCACTGCTCTGAAGAGGATTTTGGATCAAGCAATGATGCCTTACCATCAACTGCATAAGGTAATGCTGGGTAATACACAGCAGAAATGCATGACAGAATACTTAGGGTTTCTCAGTGTTTAGTGAGCCACTAATCAGTCTGAGGAGCGACGACCCAAATGATTTCTCCATGAATGAGCCTCAAAACTCCATAAATTTTGTATGTCAGATTTCTGACATTACCCTAACTCCAATAGACTTTGAATAAGCCATTGACAACATGCCCATGCACTCAGCCCTGGGCCCAGACTCGTGGTACTCTGTGTTCATTAAGAACTGCAAGATACCCCTCTCACGTGCCCTAAGTACACTATGGAGGAGGAGCTTGGACATGGGTGAAATTCAACAGTCACTTAAAACAATGGATATAGCCCCACTCCATAAAGGTGGCAGCAAAGCATTAGCTAAGAACTATAGACCAATAGCTCTAACGTCCCACATCATAAAAATCTTTGAAAGAGTGCTAAGAAGCAGGATTGCAAATCACCTGATTCCCCAAAACTGCACAATCCAGGGCAACATGGGTTCAGGGCAGGTCGCTCCTGCCTCACACCTACTGGATCACTATATGGCCTTGGATGCACTGGAAGAAAATCAGAATGCAGATGTAATATACGCAGACTTTGCAAAAGCGTTTGAAAAGTGAGATCATGGCGTAATAGTGCACAAAATATGTGCTAAAGGAATAATTGGCAAAGTGGGGAGATGGATCTTCAACTTCCTAACCAATTGAACACAAAGAGTAGTGGTCAATAGAGTTAAATCGGAGGCTGCCATAGTGAAGAGCTCTGTTCCACAAGGCACAGTACTCACCCCTATCCTGTTCCTCATCCTCATATCAGACATAGACAGAGATGTAACCCACAGCACCGAATCATCCTTTGCAGACGATACTAGGATCTGCATGAGGCTGTCATCTATTGAGGACACGGTTAATCTCCAAGAAGATATAAACAAAGTTTTCCCGTGGGCAACGGAAAACAATATGATGTTCAATGCGGACAAATTCCAACTACTCCGTTATGGATAACTGGAGGGGATAATAACCAGAACAGAGTATACTACAAACTCTGGCCATACAATAGAGCAGAAAAATAATGTAAGGGACCTGGGAGTGGTAATGTCTGAAGATCTCACTTTCAAGGATCACAACAGTGCCACGATCACAAGTGCAAAGAAAATGATAGGATGGATAATGAGAACGTTCAAAATGAGAGATGCCAAGCCAGTGATGATCCTTTTCAAATCACTTGTTCTCTCTAGGCTGGAATACTGCTGTACATTAACATCTCCGTTCAAAGCAGGTGAAATTGTAGATCTAGAGAGTGTCCAGAGAACCTTTACTGCACGTACAAGTTCTGTCAAGCACCTTAATTACTGGGACACTTGACTTGTACTCGTTGGAACACAGGAGAGAGAGATATATTATAATCTACACTTGGAAAATCCTAGAAGTAATGGTCCCGAATCTGCACACAGATATCACTCCCTACGAAAGTAAGAGACTGGGCAGGCGATGCAAAATACCCCCAATTAAAAGTAGGGGCATCATTGGTACACTAAGAGAAAACACCATAAGTGTCCAGGGCCCAAGACTGTACAATAGCCTCCCACCAAGCATAAGGGGTATTACCAATAAACCCCTGGCTGCCTTCAAGAGAGAGCTGGACAGATACCTAAAGTCAGTGCTGGATCAGCTGGGCTGTGGTTCGTACATTGGACTATGTGCGACCAGCAGTAACAGCCTGGTTGACCAAGCCTTGGTCCACCGGGAGGTCTGGTCGTGGACCGGGCTGTGGGGGCGTTGATCCCCGGAATAACCTCCAGGTAGACTCCAGGTAGATAACTCTAAGTCAACATCAGTCAGTTCATGAACACCAGCCATCCACCTCAGCACCTCAACTCATGAACCCCAGCCATTCACCTTGTCCATCTCATGTGGCTCAGTAGGGCCACACCAACCCTCTTCCCTGATGTGAAAGCACATAAACAACAACCAAAATCATACTGTATCATACTTTAATGTGTACTATAACGTGTGTGCCTGTAAATTACGAATTTAAAAGAAAAGGTGTTTGTTTTCTTCTGAGGTGTCATGAAGCACAACCCAATTTACCCATAAGATGTTCACTCTACTTATAATGTTGTCATGTTTAGCCCCTCTTTTCTGGAACATAACCTTTGTGAAAGGTGAGGGCCTACTGCACTAGAAAATTATATGTAAAATTACACAAGAATTTCTCACATGGAGAAGAATTGCTATTTCTTTTCCGAAAAAAAATACAAATTAACAGGATAATACTGTACAGTGTATTACTAAAATACTTTGTAGTTTCCCTTTTGTGACTACACTATGCTCATTTAAGTCAAGTTAATGGATTTTCAAAGTAGTGAAGTATCTTGTTTTTCAAAGGAAGTCTAATATCTCCCTTAAAGAGATATAATTTATAAAAAAGTAACAGTAATTTTATTACGATATTCAGTAAAGTATTTTCTTATTTGTCAGTTCAAAACACAAACTTGGAAAAGAAAAGTTATAAATCACTTGGAAAAAAAATACGAAACACATGTGAAGAGAGATATGTATATTTTTGCCTCGGTCAAAGACCCTCTTCAGTCAGACCCTCTTCAATCAGAGACCCCTTTTCAGTCAGATGCCATCTTCAGAGACCCCTCTTCACTCAAGAGGCCCTCTTCAATCATATGCCATCTTCAGTCAGAGGCTCTTTTCATAGACCCCTCTTCAGCTAGAGGCACTCTTCAGTCAGAGGCACTCCTCAGTCAAGGGCATTCTAGTTAGGTTAGCTGCAGAGGGCCTCTGACTGAGGAAGAAATATACAGAGTTCACCTTACTTCTGTTACAATTTTCCTTACTTTTCATCTATCAATGATTTTCACCTTTTAATTCAAACTTGATGGAACACTTGTGATGTAAAAAGTATGTTTCAAATAAAAAATTATATTTGTTCATAAAAGAAATTAATGTTAAAACTTTGAAGTTTTGATTAATTAAAACGTTGAAGTTTTGATTAATTAAAAGCTTGAAGTATTTTTTAATTAAATCCTAGGCATAAGAAGCAAGTATACAAAACTTCAGTGGAACAGTGTCATTATGTTGACAGTTACAATATTTCTTAGAAACAAAGTTAAGACTTGATTATTCAAAGTTAAATGGAGAGGCAAACAATGATGAACTACACTGCCAATGCTAAAAAAATACTGACAAAGCAATGCATTTTCAATACTGTATGTGCAAGAATATGTTGACAATGGAATAAAAAATGACAGGAACCTTAAAAGATGCAAGAAATGATGCAATTAAACTGCACATCTAATACCGTACAAGAAACACACATGTTAATTTCTACTGCATACAGTCTTGGACATAATGCAACTTTTACTTATTTTTTATATGCAGTAAACCTTCAAAAACTAAATGTTATATTATATTTAAGCACAGAATATGCATGTGCTTCAGAAAAAATATAGTAAACAATGAAATGTTTTTCAGGAAATGGAGAGGGAATGAACCTGAGGCCTCTACACTTTGTCCACTCTGCTGTGGCAATAATATTTTTGGTGACAGCAGTTGCCACAGCTAAAATATCAGCTGCAGGTATTTCATAGAATTTCCTTCACCACCAACAGATATAATGAACAGATCTGGTTGACGTACTTCCTAGCCATGTGAATACTTCAGAAAAATTGTAATTAACAAGATGTAACTTTTAAAGGAATAGATGGGACTGAACCCGAGGCCATGCACATGAAAGTCCTTTTGGCGGTGAAGCAAACATTGAACCACTGACCTACATAACTCTTCAGTACTTCAGATTTATAACTACCTACGGCATTACACACTCACCTTCATTACAAGAAAGTAATAACAAACATTGCAAACAGTTACTTTTGAAATTAAATGTTTAAAATTATCATCATCTCTCAATTTTCAGGTTTTATAAGTAATAATGTTAGAAAATACTGACATCTAACACTGCAAAACAATCTTATTATTATAGTTTTATGTACTGTATAATGTTTAACAATAACTGCGCAATATAACTAGTGACTAAAAATGCTGTGTACTATGGGCACCACATTTTTTATAATATGTATACTGTGAAACAAATTACTTATTTTTTATTAAAATGTCTAGAAAAACAAATAATTCCACTTATAATCATATGTAATGAAAAAATTATTACATTTTATTGTATAAATTGTTATATATTTAAGAATTTTCACTGAGTTGAGTCAAGTATCAGTCAACTGATTACCTGTGTGTTCTTGAGCTTTTTAATTGTTTAAACTCAGAAAAATAATTATAGTTACAATTTATTACAGTTGACTACTGACCACCTTAATACCCCAGCCAACATATTTCCCTTTGTACGATGTTTAACGTTTGATAATCTCTTAGTGTGTGTCAGTGAGTGTAGAGGCCAAGGTGTACTTGGGTACCCTGCAGGATCTTCCTACCTTTGGGGAAAGGTCCAAAAGGCTGCGCCCTGTCCCTGGTCCTGGTGGTGCCTGCGACTAGATTGGAGGGACTCACACTGCGACTCCCAGGTCCACGTGCACCTGTTAGGCAACATGGTTCGCACTGGGTTCCCTTTGTGTGTATTAACCCACAAATTCCTCACTCCTAATATTTTGCAAAATTATTTAAACACTGAACTATTTGTTGAATTTGGGAATATTTATGTCTCCAGTTAGGGATTAAAAATACATAATCTTAAATGTCTCCAATTCTTTATAAAAGCACCAAAATATGAAAAAAAAAAAAAAGATAAATCTGATGACGTTTTGCCCAGTTAAAGGGTTTCTACCCATTATTTAACAATGTTTTCTCCTATTTTATTCTACATACTGCCAACAATCTTGCCAATTTTCTTTCCTCCACTAATAAAAAAAATCTGGTCTGAAAGCTCTTAGTCAAACAATTTGCCTTTGAAACTGCTATAAAAATGATCAAATGTGCAATGTAAATTAAAAAGTATAAGTAACATTTACATCATAACAGATTAATGTAGCTGATACCTATTCAATTAAAAGTAAGAAAAATACCAGAGAGGCAAAATTAATTGCCAAATCTTTAACAAAATGCTCATCTGTAAAAGCTAGTGGAACCTTATTAATATTCTATATTCTAAAGTTTAATATCTAGGGGCCATTGAAGAAAAAATTAAATAATTTTCATCACCATATGCATTTTTTAACAATTTCTAAAAAAAAATCATACTGATACCTACTATCAAAATAATTTGATCTTTCTAAAAGGATGGCCTCAGTTATAGAATTAAACATTTTTCTTCTTGAAGTCAAGAGTAAATGCAAATCATTCCATCATTCATGTAACATTGCAATTAAGTGAATTTGAGAGTGTATCCAGAAGTTTTGTTTCAATCTGTGATCCGCTCGTGAACCACGAGCATCCATTATTTCTTCTGCATCCATTATTTCTTCTTGACTGAAACTTTATAATGTACACATAGTAATGAATTCTTATTCATCTTCTGAATACAATGACCAGCTACAAATATTGCATCATAAAGGCTGTAAATTGTAATAAAAATTTTGGATGCATGTGGGTAAATGATCCAAAAAAGGATCCATTTGCATTCAAATATAAATGAAATTTAACTATATAATGGTAATGTAAGTAATACATTATCAACAAAACTAGCTAATAAAATTATTAATAATTTTATTATCAACAGTTAAAATACAATTTGCATTAAACATAAACTATTGTGTGTGATAAATGGATTAAAACTGACAAGTTGAAGATTGAGACACTTATGCAAAATATGGGAATCTTTATTGAAGAAACGTTTTGCCACACAGTGGCTTCATCAGTCCATACAAAGGAGAATAGTGATTACATCGATTCAAGGCTGAGGGACTGATTACCTAAAACTCCTCCTGTTCTTCACTATTCTCTTTTATATGGAGTGACGAAGCCACTGTGTGGCGAAACATTTCTTCAATAAAAATCCCCATATGTTGCATAAGTGTCTCAATCATAAACTATTGTATTGTAACGATTTTTAAAAAAATGTTTGCAACAATAAACCTGAGAGAGGTGAATGACCATGGGTGCATTATTGGACCATTTACCTTCTGCAATGCCAAACAACATCGTAGTGATTCACAAAAGCATAATAACATGATTGCAAATAATTCAGGGAATGGATGGGTTTTGAGCCCATGGCGATTGAGTTGTAAAACACACTGACCTGTGAGCTTTACAACTCACTTGCAATGGGTTCCAACCCCACCCGTCCAGAGATTTTTATTAGCATCATAATGACCTATTTACATTTTTATGATCACTGAATGCCATTTCAAGAGACAATAAGCTGAAAAAAATGGCTCAGTTTATTGCTTATATCACTCTCTGGTTCAGTATCTGAAATAATTAATGGGAAACAAAAATAGCAGACACTCAACTAAAATCAAACACAATATCATGCAAAACATGCAGCTGGTTCAAAATCAGGGAATAGTTGTGATGTATTGTGCAAGCATGACACACAGGTCAGTTCAATGCAGGACAGTAGTATTCCACTGAGTAAGATATCTTACACCTCATGAAGAAATTAGAAAAATACTGTACATTATTATTATCACCGAAAATTTTCGGAATCATAGTCAACTGAAAACCCATTGTACAGCATACATAATTTACCATGCCAACAAAAAATACCTGAAAAATCTCATGCATGCATATGGGATTTCAAAGAAATTTTTTGTAAGATTTATTATGGATGTGGATAGAAGTGCACAATACAGCAAGGCTGTCCATAATTATACAAAGAAATTTTTAAAGTTCTGTGATAGGGCAAGATTTTACAAAATTAGATACGGAAATTATTAAAATAATACAATACAGCAGGGCTGTACTGTACACGATTTCATGTGCAAATAATTAAGCCCATACATTATAGCGGGATTGTATGAGATTATACATGAAAATAGCAAAAAAAGGCACAATATGCCAGGGCTGTGCAAGGTCACATGAAGAAATATGAAAATGGTATACAATACAGACAGATTGATAAGTACGACACATGTGCAACAGTTAGGTACCTTTATTCTGACACGTTTTGTCTACACAGTAGGTTTCTTTAGTCGAGTACTTGACCGAAGAAGCCTACTGCATAGGCGAAATGTTTCGGAATAAAGATACCTAGCTGATGAACATGTGTCTTACTTATCAACCACATGATTAAAACTGTACAATATGCCAGGGCTGTACAAGAATCATAAAAATTTACGCTCTCACATTTCTGATAGGCATGCTAATTATTTGTACATGAAAAACAACTCCATATGTTAGTTTTGCCACATGTAATTTCTTTCAAATTAAAAAACGACATCAATTAAAATATATACCCTAACTATATGAGAAAACATAATAAATTATGCACGTAAAATAAAAGTGGATTCTTTTACTTATGTACACAGTGTATTCATAATTACTTGCATACAATATACAGAACATATGTTTTTTATTTTAACAAGTCTGCCGTCTCCCACTGAGGCAGGGTGACCCAAAAAGAAAGAAAATCCCCAAAATGAAAATGCTTTCATCATCATTCAACACTTTCACCTCACTCATACATAATCACTGTTTTTTCAGAGGTGCTCAGAACACAACAGTTTAGAAGTATATATGTATATAAAGATATACAACATATCCCTGCAAACTGCAAATATCCCAAACCCCTCCTTTAAAGTGCAGGCATTGTACTTCCCATTTCCAGGGCTCAAGTCCGGCTATAAAAAAAATAACCAGTTTCTCTGAATCCCGTCACTAAATTTTACCTTGCTCACACTCCAACAGCTCGTCAGGTCCCAAATATCATTCGTCTCCATTCACTCCTATCTAATATGCTCACGCATGCTTGCTGAAAGTCCAAGCCCCTTGTCCACAAAACCTCCTTTACCCCCTCCCTCCAACCTTTTCGAGGACAACCTCTACCCTGCCTTCCTTCCCCTACAGATTTATACGCTCTCCATGTCATTCTACTTTGATCCATTCTCTCTAAATGACCAAACCACCTCAACAACCCCTCTTCAGCCCTCTGACTAATACCTTTATTAACTCCACACCTTGCCCTTAGACAGGACATCTCTACCACCTCCAATCGCCTCCTCGCTGCAGCATTTACTACCCAAGCTTCACACCCATGTAAGAGTGTTGGTACCACTATACTTTCATACATTCCCATCTTCGCCTCCATAAATAATGTTTTTTGTCTCCACATATACCTCAATGCACCACTCACCTTTTTACCCTCATCAATTCTATGGTTAACCTTTTTTTTTTTTTTTTTTTTTTTTTTCAACAAGTCGGCCGTCTCCCACCGAGGCAGGGTGACCCAAAAAAGAAAGAAAATCCCCAAAAAGAAAATACTTTCATCTTCATTCAACACTTTCACCACACTCACACATTATCACTGTTTTTGCAGAGGCGCTTGGAATACAACAGTTTAGAAGCATATACGTATAAAGATACACAACATATCCCTCCAAACTGCCAATATGGTTAACCTCATCCTTCATAAATCCATCCACTGACACGTCAACTTCCAAATATCTGAAAAGATTCACTTCTTCCATTCTCCTCCTCTCCAGTTTGATATCCAATTTTTCTTTATCTAAATCATTTGATACCCTCATCACCTTACTCTTTTCTATGTTCACTTTCAACTTTCTACCTTTATATATGCTTATTTATACAACATTTGCATACTGTATACAGTATATGCATATATACTTATGTATACAGAAGAACCCCATATCCGCAAATATGGTTTCTGCGGTTTACTGTGGCCCGAAAATATTAAATGGAAAATTCCTGAAATAAATGATTCATACCTCTGAACCTTACCTTTGAAGAGTTTCGAGAGTTTATCTACTCTCTAAGCCCAGCCATGGGCCAGGCTCATCTGGTGCTTGCCTGGTCAACCAGGCTGTTGCTGCTGGAGGCCCACTGCCCCACATATCCATCACAGCCTGGTTTATCTGGCACCTGGTGAAGATACTTGTCTAGTTTCCTCTTGAAGGCTAAGTTTCAAACTGTGCGCAATTCTGAGTAACGAGGTGAAATCTTTTCACCATGTTGAGCTCAGTACATATCTCATCTTTCTTTGTCCTTGCTTTACTCTAGTGTTCTCGTCTGCATTCGTTGCCACTTTATCACAGTGTTGCTGAGAAAATAACCCTTAATTTTGCTTAATAATGGCCCCAAAGCGCAGATGTCTTTTTTTTTTTTTTTTTTTTCAACAAGTCGGCCGTCTCCCACCGAGGCAGGGTGACCCAAAAAGAAAATACTTTCATCATCATTCAACACTTTCACCTCACTCACACATAATAACTGTTTTTGCAGAGGTGCTCGGAACACAACAGTTTAGAAGTACAGTGGACCCCCGCTTAACGATCACTTCCCAATGCGACCAATTATGTAAGTGTATTTATGTAAGTGCGTTTGTACGTTTATGTTTGGGGGTCTGAAATGGACTAATCTACTTCACAATATTCCTTATGGGAACAAATTCGGTCAGTACTGGCAC